ACCATTATCTGAAATATGAAAATTTATCTTTTTTGTGAAAAATTTGAAAAGATTCTAGAGAAAGTTCATTTTTGAATTAATTTATTTCTGTATCGAAATTTAACAAATTCAACTCGATCTTGTGAATCTTCTTCGTGAAATTATTCGATACATATTACTTTGGACATTGTTTATTTGAAAGACATTGAATCATCATTCGGTGCGCTATTCTTAGTACAATGGAAATAGACTACTTTAACAATCGCGAACATTCTATAGTAGCTCATTTTCACAAGTATCATGAATTTTGTCGAATTTTTCTTCTGTGATTTTTGAAGATCTTATATAACTTTATTGGTTTAATATTGTGATAGTTTGACGAAAGAGTTAAAAAATATCCCTAATATAGTCGCCGTCTAGTATTTGTATATCATATCTGAATTGGATTTTTTGTTTTAGAATGATCAATAACTTAAGACCTCCATTGCCTTCAAAAACTCAATTTTTTTTAAAGAAAAAACATTTTTTAAGATAAACATATAGACACGACTTCTAATATTTGTAGTTTGAAAATTCAAAAGAATGACTTGTCATTTTTGAAAGATTTCTTCAGAAACCATGATGAGTTGTGTAGTTAGAAGCGTAAACCTCTCCCCACATTAGAAGATCCCTGGTCTTCTATTATGTCCTAGGTTTTTTACCAATTATTAACTGAAAGTAGTTTTCCAGAAATCCGAGGCGATTTTCAGGATTCTTATAGGAATTTTCACGGTTTTGAGGATCGACAGAAACATTTGAACTCATTTTCTAAATATTACCAGCTGAAGAACCTAAAAACTGTGCATTCCTGGACGAAAATTCCCTAATTAAAGTTCTTAATTAGCAAATAATTAATTAATTAAAGGGAGGTCTTCTAATACGCCCGATGAACTTTCTTCTAATACAGGGAACGGTTTACTTGGTACGGAACATTAAAAAAAATATTCAACATTGATTTCTGTATTAATTGTTGAATTCCAAGCAAGTCTCTTTCTAATAGTTTTTGTTCAAATGAATTATAGTTTCTTTTTTTTTATTCTATTGCTAGATGCCTTCTCTTTCGAATGAGGGAGAAGAATTTTGTATTCGACCCTCAATATCAAATTAATCGTAGGTTTTTTAGAAAACATTGACAAAGACTTTTGGAGTTTTAAGATATTAACGACCTCAAAAATGAAATAATACAATTTTGTGTTCCTCATCAGATGTGGTAAAGAGTTCTCGTTGAAATGAGAGTAGCCCGAATGTTGTAGATTGAAGTATATTGAAAAAAAAAAACATTTGTACACGTAAAAGTTCTTTTTTGGATTATTGATTCTGAATGATAAGATTTGAAGCTGTGAAAATCTTTTAAACAGTGTACTTTTATTAGGTGAAAATCTTCAGAAAATTTCATGTACTGAAACAAAAATCGATTTTGAAGGAGAACGAAGATCTTAAATTTGGTCATTAATAAAACAATTTATATTTTAATGCCTGTACACAGAGAAATTTCCTCAGAAAATATATAGAAGAAAACTTCAAGGAGTATACTATCGTAATATTGAAAAATAATAGAAATCATTTGAACAGATTAAAAGATATTCAAGTTTTTTCTTTCACAACACACTTTTGAATATATATAATAATTGCCAGATTTCAAATCGACAGAAATTTTGAACATGTTTTATTTTTCTATAGAAATTATTTTGTAAAGGATTACGCTCTGATCGACAATCATCAATCCTTTATGAAGTAATTGTTTCTTTTTTTTTTTTTAATAAATAATTATGTAAAAATTGAATTGAAATGAGTTAAAAGAAAAATAAAATCACAGAACGAAAGAAAACGTGCAATCATATAAGAAAAAAAAAACAGCTCTATATTGTATTATAAATATATGAAAACATTGAAAAATGATAGTAAATAATATGGAAAACTCAATATTTTGTTAATTATTTGATGTAGAAGAAGACGTAAAAAGATGAATTATTATAATAATTGAATTAAAAGTTATCTATAACAGAATGTATTTAATGAAGATTTAATTTCTTGTCTTGTTCTGTGAACAAAAAATTTTTTTTTCATACAAAAGAAAAGAAAAAAAAATACGAAAAGAAAAGAAAATAAAGTTCAACTAAATAAAATCATATCTGAATTTAAATATTCACAGTATTTTTTACTCTGTTGTTGTCCTATTCCTCATTATTGTTGCATAGTTAATTGTAATTGTTGTTCATTTGGTTGTGATGATGGACGAGATGATCCTATTGGAGTTACTTTAGGTTTAGGTACTTTAGCTAAAATTTCTTTCATTTGTTTTCCATCATTATTTGGTAAATCAGCATCATAACTTGTTAATAATTCATAATATTTAAGTAAAAATTTAACAACTTCATATATTCGTTCAATATCAATTTGTGCTTCAATCATATATTGTTTAATTATTCCCATTTTATCACGATATCTTGCAGCAAGTAAAAGACAAGCAAGTGCTATTTCATATGGAGGATATAAAAGAGGTGCATCAGTTTTTAATGAATCATTTATAATACGCCATGCAGCTTCGAATAATGGTTGATCGATCTGAAATTCACGTGTATAAGTATCTAATGAACGATAAGGATGATAAACAATTAAACAACAATCCATTATTTCAAGTAAATAAAATTCACATTCAAGTATTTGTTTTATTTGATATGGATAGTCATTAGGACCACCTAAAATAAATATTTAAATTCAATATTAAATGAACAAGACTAACGAGAAAAAATTCATTCTTTACAACTATGATTTATCTGCATTCTTATAGATTTTCTATGTTAGAAAAATAAATGTTAATAATATATTTTGATTTTGAAAAGAAAAAAAAACATTGAACAATGTATAATAGAAAAATAAGTTGATCTTTTTTTTTAGATATCTTTCTGAAGTGAAGTGGAGTTCAGAATAATAAAGATTTACCTTAAAAGTTCGATTTAGATTTTTTCTTTTTTATTTATTCTATAAAAAACAATTTTTCGACGAGTGAAAAATAATGTGATTAGTTTTAGAGATGTTTTACTAAGAAAAAATTTTTATAAACGCTTTATTTTTCATTCGATTTAGGCAAAAAAAATAAATAACAGTATGTCATCATACTATCAGTATTACTGTTTTGTTTTCTATGAGTTTTTTTCAGTTTTTCAAAAATCATATTTTCTAATAATTCCAGCACTCTAACTAAAGACTCGTTAGATTTTTCTTCTTCTAAGATGGATATTTCCTTTGTCTTATTGTTTCTATCTATTATGATTGTTGTACTTTCTCTCTACAAACAGCCATGTGTCCAATATGAAACGAAGGCAAATAGAATCCTGCAATTGATATCTATATTAGGTTTACATGAATCTCGTACCAGGTCGAATGTCAAGCAGAACCTCTGGCCCGGACTCAAATTCCTCTCATTAACTTTCCTAAAGACAGAAAATTCTATAAAAAGTTGTTACACTTCATAGTGCTCAGTAGGACAACATAGTGTTGAATAATCAATTTTGATCTTATTAAAAGTAATGTAATCTTCTAAAACAATAATTATTTGGATGCAATAAGTGCCAAAGTAAAAAACAGAGTACTTAATAGGAAGACGACTGAACGATGCTTCTCTGATACGCTCTTAGTTAATCAATGTTTATTCAGAAATGTTGACAATTTTTCGAAATTCTTATCATACATAAATTCATTTTTGAGATAAATCTTTAGATCTCATTTTGAAAAATTAAAGATAGTTCAATAGAAGTTCACTCATCACTCCATCCAATATGACATTCTACCTATACTCGATCGTCTGCAATGTTCTATATATCTAAGTAATTTGTTCAGTAATTACTCCAAATGAACTATTTAGATTATTAAATTCATATAATAATTTTCGTCTACTGATATATAATGTCATCTATCGAAATTCAATTGGTTGACTAAAATATTACAACTATGGTGAAATAAAAATTGATACTACTTAGCATTGTATCGTCCTACTCTGTACTAAGTCATTCTGCTGGATATTACGTTGTAATGAAAATATATACTGCTACCAAGTATTCATAGAAATAAGGCTTTTTATTATGATTAATTATATGAATTTTGACCTTTTCTATATTGTTGATGCTCTTTCAATTTTTTCTTCAATGCTTCAAATCAAATCGACGTATTTATATTAACAAAAAATACATTCAAATATATCGTCATACATATATATTATTAGATTTATTATTTAAGAATGACCTTAAACATTTCTAATACAATTGACTATGGAATAATTGTTTCATCTGGATATTAACTAGATATCTATGTATCTTATTGACATCAATTTAAACAAGGATAAAATAATCATTAAAGAAAAAAAAAAAAAAACAATTTGTTTTTCTTTTTTCACATAGGTAAAATGTGTATTTTTCTTAAGACTGACTTACCCAGCAAATGTGAAAATTTTTTATATACAGTAGCAGCAGCATTACAAACTCTTTGATGATTAAGTGTAGAAAATTCTTCAACTTTAGCTGCAAGAAATAAACATGTTGGACAAAGAAGCCATGGATCAATACTTTTTAATGGATATCTTGCATAAAATCTTTTTAAATAAATAATTGCTGTTGCTATAACTTGTTGACGAACTTTATAGTGTTCACCAATATATTGAATTATATTAGAATAAAAAATAAGAATTTTTAAATATTCATCTTCTGTTATTGAAGATGAACCATTACTGGAAGACCATGAAGCAATATCACGAAGGCGAAATGACATTAATTCTTGACGATCAAATAACCATTGTTCAAATTGAGAACTTTTCCAATAAGATGCAGCCATTGACTTTTTTTTTTTTCTTTTTTCTTTTTACCTAAAAATAATATAAACAAGAAATAAATGCTAATAGAACTAAACTAATAGATCAATCACACTAAAAATCAACAATTTTATTAATAAAATAATAGTCAATAAATTATTTATTTATTTAGGTTTAATTATGTATATCCTTTGTCTGAGAGTTCTTGACGAACACGTAATAAATATGTCGGATCAGGATAACCAAAACTAAATATAAACAATAAATATTTTCTATGTTTTATTATTTTAAGTTTCTTACTTTTCAGATCCTCCAGTAATATTTGTCTTATGATGAATATCATTCCATGTAACAACATTATCTGTTCCTGTTGTTGTTGATTTACCTATTGTAAATACGTGTTGATCTTCAAAAGCTCTTCGTAATAATTGTAACACATATTTTCCTTCAGAATTATTTGGTAAATAAGCTTTACGAACTGTTCCTGTATAAGGTTGACCAGGACATGGATTTAAAGGACCTTGAATACCAGATGGAATTGTATAAGTTATTTCAAATGTAGGTGCTTCATTTGGTGAACATTGTTCAATAGGAAATCCAGGTAAAGGTGTCAAGATATAACCAACTGTCATTTGACCATGAGGAGGTTGAGGACCTTGAAATAAAAAAAAAACAAAAAAAACAAAATACAACATTATTCTGTTTAGATATTATTATATTTATGAATTCTACCTTTATTTATACCATAAAGATATCCACATGTAGGACAAGTTTGTTTTCCACTTGATTGCAACCATTGTGTAATACAATCAGTATGAAAACGATGTTGACAAACAGGAAGTGTAGCATATAATGAACCCAAATCATCAAGACATATTGGACAATTAATACTTTCCATTGTTTGTGTATTGGATTTTTGTAAACTTGAATCTATATAACAATAAAAAATAATTATTAGTCTTATTTTTAAATTTCTGTATAGTATGTTATCAATTATTAAACATTCTTCTTTTTGAGAATCAATAAAATAAAACCACGTTAAAAAGAAAAAAAAAAGTTGTTTTTGTATTTTTAAAAATCTTGAGAATAACTTACTTTGTATTGGTATTTGACTATCATCAATATCCATGGATGATTCTTGTCTTTCATAAGATATGCTAAAATTATTCGATTTCAATAATTGTTGTTCTTCAAATTTTTTCTCCCAAGCATCACATATTACTATAATAGATTTTACATCCATAGGAAGATCATCAAAACTAATATTGACCCATGAACGTAACTCAATAAATTTGCATAAGATACATCCTGAAGAAGAACATTGTGAACAATGTTTATGTTGATGATAACAGAAAGATGTTTCAACATTGGATTTTATATCATTGCGACAAACTAAATTCGACATAATTATTAATTTCATTTATATATATATGTTAAATCACTGACCAGGACAAATATTATTCTTAGAAATAAATTCTGTTCCATTAAGATACCAACAACAAGGACAAGCTGATTGACATGATCGATTATTTATTTTACATTTATTACAAATAATATGACTTGTACAGTTTTGTAACTGTTGTGAACCAATTAATGGTTGATTACACCATTGACAAGATTGATTTTGCGTATAAGAATTCGAAGCCATCTGAAAGCACATTAATATGTCTCGATAAGTATATATATATATATATATAAATCTATTTTTTCAAACAAAAAAAAAAAATAGGGGGAAAAAAGCAACACAATATGTCATACACAAATAAAACGGAAGAAAGAAATATCACAGTAAATACAAAGATAAACTTTATGAATAAGTGTCCATGATCGTATTTGATTCATAATGATTAAAATTATGTGAATGGAAGACATTAAAATGATCTCGACGTGATCGTTTAAATTCTTAAAATAAAATAAAATAAAATAAAATAAAAAAACAAAATAAAACAGTTTTTAAAAAGAAAAAAAATAATTAAAAACTTTACTTGGTTCATCATGATTTTGATAAACATGTCGACAACATGGACAACATGGTTTTTCTTTAAACCATTTTTCAATACATTTTGAATGAAAACGATGTTGACATATATCAAGTATTTTTACTGGATTATTATAATTTCCGTATAATGGTTCAATACAAATCGAACATGGTTCACGTTCAATTTCCATACGTTGTACACATATTTGCATAAGATAAAGAATATTTTGAATTCTTGGTTCATGTTCACGATATGATAATGAAAAAAAATCTTTTTTAGTTTCTTGACGAAATGAACATAAAATACATTTTTGACATTGACAACATAATGAATGACCTTTATCATCAAATTTTTTTCTTTCATCTAATGGTTTAATACAACCAGCACATAAACAATCTCTTATTATCAATAGTTGGGCAAGATCATGCCAACATAAAGGGCATGATGATTGGCATGCATGACCAGATAAATGACATGAAGAACATAAATTATGTTTATCATCATCTTCTGATTTACAATATGTTATCTCATTCGGCAATGTTTCTTTCTGACACCACGAACACTTAACCATTATTTAGTTTTTTATTGAAGATATTTGTACATTTATTCAGAACATTTCATTTACGAAATAATGGCAATAGAACAACACGCCTCCTCATGATATTATACTAAATAACCAATAGGAATTAATTTTTTTTATAAATATAATTTAACACCATCTATTGAATTTGGTTTTGTNTCTATTTCTTTTATACAAAGAATTTCTAAACAATGGTATTTCACAATCATTCCAGTTATTTATTAGAACATTGTAAAAAAAAGTATTTTATTATCATAGTTATCACAAGTTGAAAAAATTAGTATGAGAGATAAATAGAGTTACTTATTGAATCGCAATAGCAAGATGCGTTCATCGTTATTTCAACTCCTTGAAGACTATCGATCTATAAATTATAGTTTGAAAAAAAACAGCGTTAATCTTAATGTATGTTTGAGTTTATGACTTGTCATATCATTAATTTGTTTTAAAAGAAAGGAAAAATACTTGTCTTCACATATTAGCTTGTTTTACTTTATCTTTATTTGTTTATATTGATCTCGCAGCGAAATAAAGACACCAATCACAAACAATGTCGACCGATGAAAGCAATAGTGAAGCGTAAACATGACAAAATTTACCATAGATTTTGATGTGTCTATTTTAAGTTAGTTGATACGCATGATTAAGATACAAAAATAACTCATAAACAAATAACAACAGCAACGAATACATTTACATCCAGTGCAGTATGTGATAATAGTGATGCAGACAATACGAACAGGGCACGAAATGGGTCATACAACCTCATCTTAATTTCTTGTTACAACGAAGATTTCTAATTTAAGAAAATAGTAAAAGTTTCATTTTAATCAACTAAAATGACACTAGTGAAATATGATAAAAATCTCGTTTTTCAGCCTTGAAAATAAATTTCATTTGGTTTTAATCTTTCTCAATCGATATAAAAAAATTTCATTTTTTATCAAAATTTCTTTCATGGAGTTCGCATCTCAAAACTGGTTACAATCAAAAATATGTATTATAAGAACGTTTTAAAAGCTTTATTTAGCTAATAAATAAAAATAAAGTATTTATTCGGTCCAATGACATTTCTTATCTACACGCAAGACCAAGTATTATATCTAATGCATTAAGTGCCATGAATTTTACTGAAGTGGAATAGTGTTAACTATTTACTAAAAATAATAACCAATGTGACTCTTTTAAATCGATTAGCGAAAGTTTTACTCTGAAAGGTTATGTTAATGAACGATAGTCTTCAAGGAGTTGAAATAACGATGAACACATCTTGCTCTTGCGATTCAATAAGTAACTCTATTTATCTCTCATACTAAATTTTTCAACTTGTGATCATTATGATAATAAAATATTTTTTTTTTACAATGTTCTAATAAATAACTGGAATGATTGTGAAATACGATTGTTTAGAAATTCTTTGTATAAAAGAAATAGACTTTTAATAGTGTCATTCTAAGTTTGGCGGGATGGGTTGACTGAGTTGAGCCATTACAATGACTTAATGTCGATGTCTATATACTGATGCAGGATCACGAGCCTTACAAATTGGTATTAAAAACAAATGAACTAAAGAAAAAAAACATAAGACTGCATGGAACATTTCTTTTACAATAGATGAACCAAACTACATGTGCCTTTTCATGATATACCCACAGTGTTTTATCATGCACATTCTACCAATTATAGAAAGACATATTATTGAAAATGAAGCAGAAATTGGAAGACGGCAAAGGATAAGTTTAGCTAATATATTAATTCATATCTATTCCTAAGTGAGAGAGAGATCGTTTAAGTGCACTTAATAATCTCGAATAATTCCACATATTCTCATTTGCCTCTTATTGTGTAATATGTTTTTTTCCAAGTGTGGAAAAGTATAATATATAATTTGCTATGTAAAAGACACAGAAATCGAGAGTAGAGAAGAGATTCTTATCAATTTTTGATTCATTATGGAGAGAATCTTCTAAAATAGAAGTTTTACTATTATCGAATTTTTTATTATAATATCAATCATTATTTTTTGAATAACTTTTGATTGTTTCAAGCTATCAAAATCAGATTTTCGTTATTAGATAGAGCAATGTTAGAGAAGTCTATCTGTGTAATATTCATGAGGTTCGAAGAAGTTCTTCATCTTCATGGATATCATCTTTTTCTTTGTCCATTTTCACAACTTTTCGTAGCAAACAAGATTCAAATTCCGCTAAAATATAATATGAAGAGTATTGTATTCTCTGTATAATTGTAAAACGTCGTTTTTATCTTTACGCTTGATTAATACTTCAATAGAAATATCCTGAAATTTGAGAGTTTTATGGAAATTATAAATATTCATTAAGAACTTCTGAAAATCTAATGAGTGCTGCACAGATAGGCGTCTTCAACATTGCTCTATCTAATGGTGAAAACTCGACTTCGATAGTTATAAGCAATCGAAAGCTATTCAAAAAATGGTGGTTGCCGTTTTAACAAAAATTCAACAATATTTATCTAAAAGCATGTAATCCATTTTTTGTTACCAATTGAACTCACATTTTCAATTGAAAGTCATTTCTCGAACTTGTACGATTCCATTTCGATCAAATGATCAATCATTTGCGTCTTGAATGCACAGCATTTTAAATGTGTTTTTTTTATAACATTTTTATTTCGATTAAGTATATTGTTTTAATTTAATAGTTAAAACATTCCGAAAAATCATTTATTAAACTTTCTGAATATATTTTTGAGATATTTTTTTGAAATAAAAAAGCCTAGAATTTTATATAAAATCAATCATTGTAAAAACTTTTTACATAAATAAATTTTACATTGCTTCAAAAAAGAAAAAAATAATTTATTTCATCTACTATATCACGCAATTTTTCACTCAATTTAACATACAATTTATATTGTTCAATACAAGAGAAAAAAGTGGAATTTTAAATGGAAATCAAATCGTATATTCTATAGAATGACAAATGCAATTATTTTCATTAATATATTACAATAATATAGTAGAAGGATAAAAATCACGTCTTGACCTCGTTGTATAAAAGAGCATTACGAATACGTCGTTGAGCACGTATTTCTTCAAATGCTGAAGATGTGCCAGTTGCTGTTCCACCGGTACCCATTGTAGCAGTATTTGTATTTGAATCTTTATTAAGTAATCCAAATGCTTGTTTCATTTTGGTTGTTTCACTAACTTGAAACCATTCTTTTGGTATCATTGAAAGAAGAACTCCGGCAGATGAACATAATATAGCGGAAATGACTAGAGGTGAATAATTAATATTTAACAAATAACGATCAATTACTAAATTGAGCCAAATAAAATAAATAAATCTTGAAAAAAAAAAGAACTCACTAGACGCAGAAGGTATAACAAAAAGTAGACAAGCAGCATTGGCCATTGAACTATATTTAAATGGAATGACAATTGTTAAAATATTGAATGCTAAAAGAAAAACAAAAATATTTATTCAATGTTATTAGTGTAACTTACTGAGACCACAAATCAATGTAATAGTCGTTAATAACCATCGAATATGCTTATACTCAAACTGTTCAACCTGAGTAAAATGTAGAAGTAAAGCAAGTGGCCATAGAAGACATGTTCCACAGAAACACACATTAATCATTACAATTCTCAATTTAGTATTTGTTAAATCTTCAATAAAACTATTAACAAGAATCTATTTTGAAGAAGAGAAAAAAAAACCAAGATTATTTTTTAATTTATATATTTTATAAAAATGAAAATATTTACATCAAAAGTTGTTTTCAATCCAACAGCACATCCAACCATCGAAAGACCAAGTAAAAATGTATTAAAACGAAATCCATCATCATGTGCAAGAAAAAGTAAAGCTGATAAAGCAACTATATAAGCAATAACCTATTAAAATAAAAAACAAACAAACAAAAAAAATTATTTAATAAAATAAAATAAATTAGCTAACCTTATTACCAATAAATTGTTCATGTAAAAAAATCCATCCAAGAAGTTGTCGTGATGTTACTGTTATTGAATAAAGAATAATAATTTCCACAGAAATAAGAATTGTCATCGAACGAATTATTAAATAACAAGTTAAATACCAAAGAAAACATAATAAACAAGTTTTTATTAAACAATCAACTAATGTATTATTTGATGAGGATTTTCCTTTGTCGAATACTCGGCCGAATTCTCTATATGAACAAAAAAAAAAAAAAATTTGTTTTTTCTATTTACATAATCGAGGGTTCAATTCTTGTTTTATTAAAAATTTCATGTTACTTATAAGAAAAATTTTTTAATTATATCAACAAGATGTGTAATATTCATGTCAGTATAGAGGAAAAATAATTAGAAAAATATGATCATAATCTCCTTTGCTTCTTCAGTCATCTTTTACAGATTATTTAGAACCTTGAAGAAAAAAAGAACCGTTAAGACCATCTATTCATAGAAAAATGCTTCAAGCAATAGAAATATTCCCATTTTAATTCGTAATCTATAAAAATAAAAATAAATAGAAAGAAGATAGTTTCTTCTTTTGTCTACTTTTCAGTAATAGTTGATATTTTGTCAACGTTCCTCATAAAGTTATATATTGTTGTTGTTGGTGTTCTTTTTACCTAAGAAATATAGCTGTTGTTCTTCCACGTCTTGAACGTCGTTGGATAGCAATTGTATGTACTATGAAACAGTTAATAAATAGAAGACTATTAAAGATCCAAACACAAGTAAAAAAAGCACGAATGGGATATTGTTTTTCTTTTTTTAAACTTGTTTGATTATTCGTTGTAGTTAAATTAGAAATTTTCTTCGATAATTTTGATGAAATACTGTCTGGTTGAATTTTAACAAGTTTTGATGCTAATTCAATCGTAACGATAAGAAGAAGAGCAAGAATAAGAGCCAAACTTAAAGTTAAACTAGCTTGTTTAATTTTTTCGGATCGTTTTAATTGATTATTACGTTTTTGTAATGCTTGCAATTGATTTGGAGTAAGATTTGC